ATCCCGTCCGCTGTCAGAAAATCAAGAAGTGCAATGGGCGTGTCTCGAAGTCCAACTCAGACAGCAGTTACGGAAGCCTTTCCCCCGCCCACCTGTGCTATAAACAGAAAAGCTACGGATCAGGGGCCCCACCCGTGATGGAGGCCATCACAATCATAATCATCACCAGGCCATCAGTCCATCACCTCTTCTCCAGAATTTGATAAATGCCAGGTCTGGCTTTCCATCGGTTCTGCCCTAAATGAATGGTAAGGTCCTGCCCTTTGTGCGCCAAACTGGTATGCTTGCATGGCCACACATTCAGAAACTGCTATCGTGTGGGTTTGCGTGAACGTTTGCTGCTTTTCAGTGTTCCATTGAAAGAGAAATGAGGTACGAAAAAATCGGGATGAACAAAAAACGTCCGATGCATCTTTGTTAATGCGATTCTAGCAATGCGGAAATAACAAAACCTCCAGCATGAAATAAGTTCCAAGATGGTAATATATGTGCAGTTGACGAGCGCAACGCTAGCGCCACAGTTGCACACCCCAGTGCGGCTGATGGTGTGCGTCAGGTTCGTCCTTGTGAACAGTCCAGCGCGCTCGTGCACCATGGTGACTTTAAAAAGGATACAACCTCGCTTTTCCCTACCAAAGAACACTTTCCGTTCACTTAGACCACCAGGATCCTCTTTTCATCTTAGGGGTGGTGTTGCAAATCGGACTTCACTTCCGCCAGCGGGGGAGGGCCCATCTCACAGGTGATGAGGCTCCGCTTTGCGCCCACTCATCCGCAGGCAATAAGACGTCAGATCCGGATCTGGGCGACCAGAATGAGGCGATAAAACCAGCACAAGGCAGACTTGGGCCAATGCTCGGAGATCAGCCCGCAGCTCTTCCACAGACAGGCGCTCGGCCGCCGTCCCACGCCGTTTCACCGCGGATGGCTCCTAACATCAGAGTGATATCAGCAAAATGCGTCACGGAGACCGAAATGCCCTCGCAAAAGCTCCGGAGACCAAAATCATCCGCAAAATTCCCCGCACACATAAATGGTGGACCAAAATTACGAAGAGTTCAAAACTGGAGAACGAAATGAGCCGTAGAACTCGTCATAGTCCAGTAAAAAAATCGAATTTTGTCGAACTGCCTAAAAAAAACTTGTCATAGCAGCCACTCTTAATCAAGGGTGGGACCGGCGACGCCTGAGGCGCATGGAGTCGTCTTCCGCCATATCCCAAGATTTCTAACGTGGCACCATGCCCATGGAGTTGTACAGGAAGAATAGATAACAAAAACCTCTGCGTCACCAGAGATGTTGAAGGAGTTTCACATTTGCCACCGGTCATCAGTCCAACAACCGCATTGCCGCATGCTTGTAAACACCAATATGGCCCCAGAGCAGGCCATTTGGTGGAAGCATGAGAAGCATGATTTCGAGAGACCATGCCGAACGCATCGCTACGTCTCGGGAATGTGTCGGAGCACACCGGGCGAGGAGATCCTGCCACAAGCAGCAGGGCTGCTGGAGGTCAAGTCAGGAGGTCACCGCTGTCTGAGCTCGACTGGTATACCCCATGGATGTGGTCCTGATGGATTAAATCGCATCTCCAGCACGCGATCGGGCCTCCACAGCAGACGCCTCCCCTCATTCTCCCACATCCTTATTGTCCCCGGCGCGCATCGTGTTGTGGAGGCACAGCTAGAGGTATGCTGATGATATCAGCATCAGCGGGAGGCTGATGCAGCGGGTGAGAAACGACGCCAACGTGGCACTTCGCGGACTATGCTTTTATCCGGGAAAGTGCCCGCACACACACCATGGTGCGCCCTGCTTGGTACAAACCCGACCTATGTCGCGTCCGTTGAGGTTAGGCGGCACTGTGGCGACCCAGTGCGCTCTGGTGTTTTCCCCATCGGTCCGGAAATAACTGGTCCAGGCCGGACTTTTTTTACCACGGGGCGTGACAGAAGCGAGGCAAAAACGGCGCGGCGAGATGAGGCTAATTGTGTTACGACGTAGGCGAAAACACGGGGTGGATGTTGGCACAACTGCTGCGATAAAAAGCGATTATGTGGGACGCTGACTCGCGCTTCCGATCTTCGTGACATAATGAAATTGGAACGCGTAATTGCTGGCGCAACTTACCATCACCGATGGGATAATTGTTTGGACCATCGTCTTCGTCTGGTGCCTTAGTATGCACGCACTAGTATGCTAAAACGTGCAAACTAAGCGTATACGAGCACACGAGACGAAAACCAAAGTCCGCACAATTATTCTTTTCGCGTCATATGCATTGCTTCGATGCTTCCGCAAAACGGCTTATCGCAAGCGCTCGTTTCTACAATCAACAAACAACGGCATTCGCTGTCACGGAAATCATCCCACTACAGGTGTGTAGCCCACACCATCCCCATTGAAAGGATGGGAGAGGCAGCTGTAAACTTTTCCCAAAATTGTAAAAACGTTGACCGAATGCCCACGAAGCCTTCTCCCAGTATACAGTGTCAATCTCTTGACTCAGGGGCGGAGGCCATGGCTCTTTGATTTTTGTATTGGCTGCGTCCCTCATCAGTCATTACATATCGTACTTGCGCCTCTTCCAATCAGGTAATGAAGCCAACCATCGGAAAAAGCGGCACTGGGCAAACAGGAGCGTCCCGTGGCCCGAGAGGTCACATCGAGTCTGACCCTGTCCCGTGCCCTGCAATCCACCGTCAGCACCCTCACCTAACCGGTCGCGCGCCGCGGGGTCGGGTCACTGATGGGTGCTCAGCTCTTCCCGCTGACGAGGGCCGAGTCGGAACCCTCGCCATGGGGACCGGGAGGAGTAAGACGACGCCGAACAATACCCATTCGAGCGGCCGCGCGGGCAGCCAAGCGTCGCGACCACGTGCCGTCGTCTGTGCCGTCGTCTGAAATACGGTGCCGCCGTGAATGGTCGGCACCGTATTTCCCCGGCCCGGTAATTCGGTAATAATAATAGATAATTACATAATTTCGGGTGTCAGCGGCGAGGGAGGCTCCCGAAAGAAACCGGGAATCGAATCCTTTCTGAAGTCCATCTTTTCGTGAGTCATTGTGCGGTTCACGCCAAGCTTTCGCGAGAAGTCGAATGACTGTGGCCCCTGTCCCTCCCCCTCCCACCCACCCCCCTCCCCCCACTAACTACTGCCGGACAGTCCCTATCCCATGCTCAGGACACAATTAGAGTACTCGCGATTAACTCGCCCGTATCGCAGCGGTAGAGGCGACGGAAGCGGGTCGCCGCATGGAGAGAGCCGAGGCTAAAATTACGACCCACGCACCCCTACAACTAACTCCAGACACCCACTTCCATGGATTTAGTGGATTTGCCGCCAACGAAACGACGCTTCGGGCATGTTTACCGGTGTACGGAGTTGCCTTAACGAACCGTCACTGGGCACCTCGTTCGGCGGACCGTTGCGCTAACGACTCTTCAAGGCTGACGACGGAAAGCGGCAGTCATGGACGCTTACCCTCAGCTACCTGCCTGAGACCGGAGCAAGCCTCGCAAGCTCCACGAACGGAGCAAGCCTCGCAAGCTCCACGAACGGAGCAAGCCTCGCAAGCTCCACGAGCGGGACAGGTTACACAAGACCCACGAACGGAGCAAGTCTCGCAAGCCCCACAAACGGGACAAGCCTCGCAAGCCCCACGAACGGAGCAAGTCTCGCAAGCCCCACAAACGGGACAAGCCTCGCAAGCCCCACAAACGGGACAAGCCTCGCAAGCTCCAGGAACGAGACAAATCACGCAAGCCCAATGAACGGAGCAAGCCTTGCAGGCCCCACGAACAGGACAAGCCTCGTAAGCTCCACGAATGGGACAAGCCTCGTAGGCCCTACGAACTAATAAGCATTGCGTCTCGCACGAGGGTGGACCGCTCCTAAAAAAAACGGGTCGGACAAACCACTTTTGAACACAGATTTTTCTCAAACCTAGACATGCATGAAACCATTGCGTCAATATTCAACTAACACGAAAAGTGGGAACGCCAGGGCCTTTCCGTCCCTCCCTCTCCTCCCTCCCCTCCCCCCCCCCCCCCCCCCTACACTTTCTACGCCGATGGAGCCGCGCTACGGCCTGTTTGCCCTAGTTAGTCGCAGGCTCCAGCAGATCAGAGACATGCGGTGGCGATACAGCTGGCGGCGGTCGCGCTTAATCAACTGATCGCGGGTAAATTACTGCCGGATCGGCCGCGTTCATCATCATCGTCGTCGTCGTTCACCATCGTCGAAGACCGACACACCCACTGCCAGCCCCCGAGCGTGCTGGGCCGCGTCCCGGCCGTACAGCGTTATCAGCCATGACTTGCCATGCCTCTCGGGTCGGGCGCCTGTTCATACGTCGCGCGTCGCTCTAAGCAAGCGCCCGCCGCCAAGGCCTCCGGGGCCGCCGGGGCCGCCGTCGTGGCTCCCGCGTCCCGCTGTCCTGCCGCCTGCACCAGCCCGAGCCGGTCCGGGACGGGCCAGGGGCGGGGCAGATGTTGACTCGGCCGGGTCGGCGGCCGCCACGGCCATCTGACACTGCTCAGGCCGACGCAGCACAGACCGGCGATAGCGGCCGGCCGGCCGGTGCTGTCGCCTGACCTTGCCGTGTGCACCGCGGCGCAGTGCGCGGCTGCGGCGTGCCACGATTGGAGCCGCGCGCCGCCGCGCCGCTGCCGGCCCCCGCGCCCGCGACGCCATGGGGAGCCAGTCTCAGGCGCGAGACGCGGGAGGCGCGGGACGGGAGCCGTGCCGGGGCGCAGCGCGGCCGAGCGGCGCCGGGCGAGACGCCGGCAGCGGGGCGCCCGGCTGGCGTTACAACCAAGTCAATTGCCCGAGGCCGGCGGCCGACGGCGGCGGCGGCGGCGGAGGCGGAGGGCGAAGAGTGTAACGATCACGACGCGCAGGCGTCAGCCTCGGGCAACCCGTGGCTGAAGCCAGGCCAGGTCGGGTCGGAACGCCAAGCCCGCGAGCGTGGGCGTGAAGTCAGACCCGCCTACTCACCAGATGAAGTCCTTGCAGTGGCTGCAGAAGGTGAACTGCTTGAAGAAGCGCGGGATGAACTTGTGGTCCTTCACCTCGAAGACATTCTTTTTCTTAAGCGCGCCCTTGCGGCCGCGCTGGCCCAGTCCGAACGGGGTGTTGGTGTCGCCCGTGCCGGGCGTGTTCGTGTGCTCCGCACCGTCCTCGGCCATGGCTGCCAGCTGACTGCCGCCCGGCGGCCGGGCGCGCGCCTTCTGCTGCACGCCGCGCGAGCTGCCAACTTCCCGCCGGCGCGCCGCCGCTACATCCGGGACTGCGCGGCGCGCGCCCCGGGCGATCGATGGCGCGTGCGCGCCGCGGCCGCCCGGCGCGTTGGGCCGCTGGGCCGGATCGCTCATAGGTGTGGGAGATGCTTGCCATTGCTTCCCCCCCCCCCTCCCCCACCGTGTGGGAGACGCGCAAGTTGATGGTCCGGGGTGAGCGAGGCGGGAGGGTCTCTGCGACGCCCCTGCTGGGTCTCCTTTACCACCTTGCAAACGGATACCGGCCAGCTTCTAGAACGGGGGTGCAAGTCCCCATTCAGCGCCCCCCCCCCCCACACAGACACTTTGAAAAGACAAGGAGTTTCGGGAGTTACGATGTGACGCCTCTAAGTCCCAATGAGAGGCATCCTTCGTATAGCATAATGTTTTAGTGACAAAATTAAATACAGCATTGAGTGACGTGGGGCAGTGCAGTGACTGCGTTTTGAAGGATACAAAACTCCTCTAGAACTTCCAGGGTCAAAGAAACAGCACAGATTTCAGAGGCAACACCATAACAGGCAGCATTCAGAAGTAACACCTGCTAAGGGGTCAAGACTGGCAAACGACTTCACAGAAATTCTGTTCCTGGAATCATTGTGACACCTTGTAGAGGATTCACTTCCTCGAAAACGCCACAGAGAGTATGTTTTCTCGATGGGGCCAGCAAACAATCCGGTCTTGCGAGTCCACCACGTAAGGGTCAGCGTTACCAGGATAATGGCACAGATAGATGCATAAAGAAATGTAGGACAGACGTTCCCAACCGGGGGATCAAACTCCCCATCAGGAAAACGATGGTCTGAGGTGGGGGGGGGGGGGGGGGCATTGCGACGCAGCCAAATCAGGCCTGGGTCAGGAAGGACAATCGTCCGCGGACAGCGTCAAAGGAAGGAGCCCGACTGGAAGGCGACGTCACGCGCACCGCCATCACTCAACACATCACAAAGACGAGAGGTGTTTCCGCCGGCGTGTAGTGTTCAGCTTACTACTCTCGCCTCGACGCGAGCGAGACATCGTGACTTGATTGGTGATTCTTGAATACGATCGCGGTGTGGACATGTGCTAGGACCCATCAGCTTCTTATGTGATCCTGTTCAGAATCAAAGGTAGGAAAAAGCATGAGTTTGCATGTCTTATGGCTCACGTTGCAGAATGGCTAAGGGCTTATGGCTTACGGCGCACACGTGGTTATGTTACTTGAATTGCGTTGTTTGGTTGGGAGAAATCATAATCCGATCCATTATCGGGATGAGATGGGCCTTAAAAGGTTAGTAAACACTGGTAAAAAGTCAGGAGCACACAGGGGCGCAGACAGCACTTGCGACGGAACGGGCTTCTATGATTTGCGACGCGGGGGTGTCTGAGTTGTTGCCAGCGAGTCCCAGCCCCATAAGCGGTAGGGGAAAGTGAGGTGAATTATATCACGTCCAAGTAGAATCAGTGTCATTTATTCAAAATGCAAGCGACAGGTGCAGTCTTTAGCCACTCAGCTGACGCAAAACAGCTCATGTAATCTTCCAAGTGCTTTCGGTCGCATACGTGCATGCATCTTAGGGTGGCATATAACGGTCGGTGTGAGTGTATCCTTAAGGGCTTACGGCGTAAGAAGACCAATATGAATGCTATGATTGAGTAGTGGGAAGAACATATGTCGTACACACTCCGAAACATTTGACATCTGCTAGCCAAGGATTTCAGGGCAACGCGAGCTTCCTTCTTACATGTCTGGTGGTACATGTTGTATCATCTGTTCTTGGGGCATGTCGCATCGTTAAAGGGAGTGTTTCACATCTGCATGAGTTTCTAACTAAAAAACATCTTTAAAATCATTCCGTGCAGTTAACAGCCCTGCCCTTAAGACCTAAACCCTTCTAGTTTCTGAGCTAACGCCCGCGAAGATGTGCAGACTACTTCGGGAATATATTTTAAGGTCACTAGACATCCATAACGTCATTATGACGTCATTCAAACCATGCCATTTGATTGGTCATGCTGCGATCAAGACAAAGAAGAATATAATGGTCCAGTAGCTCATGCCTGGGGTCCGTGGGCACGATTTCCAGACATAACGGTCATATCTTGGCTCTCAATTAATGTTGTGCAAGATACCTTGATGCAGTCAAACACTGACGTATTTAGGAGCATGTTTACTAAACAGAGAAAGTGTGTTGTCTAGAGCAGCCTTTTACACTGAAAAGAAAAAATAGTTATAAGAGAGCTTCCTTTATCATATCTGGTGCTTACTTTAATATCTGTAAGCGTAGAGCATTCCCTCTACGACAATGCACAGGCACCATCTAATTAACTGACTTATTGGCAGTTATTGAATCCCATGATTGCCATAACTTACTGGCGTCTACATAATACGTCAAGATTTACATACCTATCTAGATCCTTAATTTCCTCCTGAGCAGCCGAAACCGAGATGGCTGTAGTTGTCAAGCAAACACTAACTGATTGGGACAAAAATGTGTCATGTCGCAATCACAACGAACTACGAAATAGCAAAGACAAGCCCATTTCGTTTACATGTCGTAACGCATTCAGTTGGCTTGTGACATGACTTAATCTGTGAAAAACATAACCACAGCCTCCTCTCTACGTGACACAGTAAAACCCGCAGTGGTGTAGGTTATAACATTTCGAAGGGATTCGTTTAGCAGCCATTTATAACAAAACAAGGCTTGATCCCTCCAAAACTTAACCGCTAGACACGAAGTTGAAGGCTAAAGCTGTCTGCAGATGTAATAATATTGGCGCCAGCCTCAGTAGTTATAGCAGGAAGGAGCTCGGAGTAAAAGCTGATACATCTCTCTCTACTTTCCCTTCCTACGCCCTGCCCACAGACGAGCAGATCCCACAATCGCTGGTAGGTACAATATACATATTGTATCAATGAGTTATCGATGCTGGTTCCACTGCTGTCAATTGTTCAACAATTATTTCAGCTGCATACCGTTATCTTTACTCGGCTATCCGCTAGTTTTGCTAGCAAATTTCCTCCCAGAACTGTGGGGTTCTACGTGTTACTGCCGTGTCTATGATGTTAAGGCCAAAATAATTTTCCAAACATCAGTCTCAGAAATGATATCAAGTAGCATCGTGGTCAAAAACTGCGCTCAAACCTGATAGAAATGGGGGACTTAAGTCCCCCCCCCCCCCAGCTGCTCATGACCTCCGTCTTTGCCCGCGTCCAGTGGCGCAGCCAAAGGAGTAAAGGAGTAAAGGAGTGCTCGGTAAGAGCGCATCGCATCGATTTTTAACTTTCTGCCGGTAGCCATCTGTGCTAACAATGAAAACAATCCCAGCTGAAGGGGGAGGGGGGCTGTGACTCTGTGAAGAGTAGCTGCAGACTTACTGCCAGTCTTTCCAGAAACTGCGCAGCGGCCAGTTCCATTAGAGCCAACGTTCACAGCGATCTTACTCAGGCCGACACGTTGCCCGGTTCCAACAGAAAGAGTGTTGTTTTGCAAAGTGAGTGGCCAAAGGGGGAAGCTCAGCAGTAACGATGACAAATATACCCCAAAATACGCCAACAAACAGGTTTCTCCACAAATTTGGCCCACTCTGTTCTCAAAGCTTGGGGGAGTCTAGTTTCACCCAGGTGCGCATCCGGGAGCGGATCCGGAGGGGGGGGGGGGGGGCATGGGGCCATGGCCCCCTTGTGTAGAATGGGTACCAAACCGTCATGGTGAAGGGACATTAAAATGCTCATTCCGTGTCCACATAACCTTTATTTCCAAGGGTCATCAAATTCAGGGGCATCGCAAATGGTCCCAAATTTAATTTTCGTGAGGAACCAAATACCAAGGGGACAACAATGTTGTGTCTCGCGCCCTGAAAAAATCATGCATCGGCCTATTGGGCTGAGGGTAGAGATGTCACTTGGTATACTTTCGGGGGTCTGAGCCCCCCCCCCCTCCCCCAACCCCAAATGCTGAGCTGAACTCCCTTGATGCTCTTCTGATCAGCGTGTGTTGTACGGTTACTGCCACCTCGGTTTCGGCTGCTACTGTGGAAACCATGGGCTTACTAAGGTAATGTAAATGTCGCCTTGTGTTCGGGATGACAGTAATGTATGGCGATCGTGTCAGCCAATCACTGACAGCAAGTCAGTCAATGAGATATTGTTGGTACACTGTAGCGCTGATATAACATGCCCCATGCGCAGCTGACACGATACGTACCGCCCGACATGTTGGAAGAAGGTCCGCGCTACCCCAAAATCTTTGTGAAACAGATGCGAATTGTTTTGCAGAATATACGAAACACGCACGTTTCTACCATTCGGTGCAGCATTCCGGTTGGTCTAAATGGCCGCAGTCTCGTTAACGTACGTTTCCACCAATTGCTTTAGTTTTCATCGATATGTGAAAAATATATTTGTCGCGCTCATCCCAAGACACGCGCACGTGTGCGACCGGAAGTATACTGAAAGGTGCAGGAAGCTGCTGTGCGCCAGCTGAGTGACGCAAGCCTGCCGCCCATCGCACAGATCCGGAATAAATCACCCTGATACTACTTGGACATGACAACCCACCTCACTCTCTCCTGAATCCGATCATTCATTGTAGTGGCGATAAAAGCATTCCAACGGCACGCTGCTTGAGGATCACAGAGTTCGCATGCTTTCTCCAGGTCTGCAGCACCACCGTCTGCGGTGCGGCCCAAAGCGCAGCCGAGCGCTCTCTGACGTGATACACTTAGACGGACAACGACTGTAGCATATGCTGGATTAGCGCGATGCAGGCAAAGACGAGCACGGAGTACACTTCTGCTGCGCTGATCCTCCTTTGCGTCATCATTAAGCGAAGCAAGTTTTCAGCCTCTGTCGCGCGCTGAAACTGCATTCAGTTGTGGCTGAACTGGCGGGCAGGGTTATAAGAAAGCGATCAGGTTTAAAGGGACTTCTCCAGATTTGCATGTGGTTTTGCGGTTCAAGTAGGCTATTTTGTCACCTTACGGTGAACTTTTTAAGATTCCAAACCACCTATTTGCCGAGCTTGGTGCAATTGAATGTGTGCATGCTAGTTCGCACATACTATTGCAAGGTCACTTAGAGATCTACAGCATCGTAGAAACACCATGCAAGCACTGCGCCCCATTGGCAGTTTTTGTTTTGTTTTGCTTTGTTCATGGGCAAAAAAGCATGACCGCTGTGCTCATGATTGCACCTTTGCCAGTTTTACATGCATCGGCCGTTTAGGGAAGAGCAGATTGGTATCGCTTACGCGACCCACTTACTTGCGTGCCTACCAGAACAACATTTATCCCATTAAAGCGACTGCGAAAACCATTTTTCGGTCCCATTACAATTTGTCACATCTGATGCCACATACTTCAAAATCCGGGTAAGTGCAGACGGACGGATATGTTATATGTTGACGGAAACGGTGTTTTATAATTTGGAATATTGAGAAAAATCTAAGAAATGTAAGCAAACTAAATAAATCCTTAGATATAAGCCATCAACACATAATTAGCACCAAATGCTGCTAGCATGCAGTTAATGAAGCTAACGCTCACAGGATCGGGCGGGTGGGCGGTGGGTCGTGGGTTCCCTGGCGGCGATGACCATATCTTGTTATTGTTAGGAGAGGCGCTCAGATTTAAGCGTTCCGCTTATGCGCCAATCCACTTATCACATTATGTTCTGCCTAATGTCCGTAGGCGAAAATAAGTATCAAATCAAATCAATCTCCAACTGGTGGGAAGTTAGCAATTGATGTCTACATACTTGCCTCCCTAGGTTCGTGTGAAATCGCATATCAGCCTTCCCATCCAACCCGCTGGCTCCACTGGCACGTGTAATAAAAGTGCCTTGATTTTGACTGCCTGCTGCGCAACAAATGTCAAGGATGTTATTGTCCGCATCTTTTGTGCATTTCGCCAGATGCAATTCTTTCGTGTCGTCCATGGGGCGATGACGGATTGCTGCATCTGGGTGCAGGCCTGAGCGGAAGGTCTCGTGGACAAAACGGCCCGCTTCCATCCTGACATGTATTGCAGAAAAGATAATTTATTACGCTTATTGCGCAAAATATGTGATGAGACAGCAATCCAGTGTTCCCGGCTGCGGCTGGGTTTGCAATATCTCGCAGTGGCAGACACCAAAGAACAGCAAACCGAAGTTATCGAAGTGATATCCTTTGATTACGAGCTCTGAAGTCAAGCTTGGATTTACCAGTCCTGAACGCAAGCGAAAATTTAAGTCCTTGTGTCCAGCTGGGTTGCGGAAGTTCCATTCGCGCCTACCCTTAATCCGTCTCTCATGAACAGTTTTTGCGGTACTACCCTTTTGCCAGATAAATAGTCGCAAGCAGCAAAATATCTACATGCGTGTCTTAACTACAAAACCACTTCCAGAATGTCTACCGCATCCCGACGCCCAAACCTCAATGCACAATTAAGGTAAATAAATCGGCAACATTGTCTGCGTTCGCTGCAGAAGTCGGCTTGCAGTGTATTACCTAAGCGAAGGAACGAGCCAATACAAGAAGTGGCCCATCCCCCGCCACGCGGGCCAGCGCTTGTGATGAGAAATGTATGTTGGGATGAACGGCCCGAGACTGACGACCAGAAGCCAAGGAACGTACCACAAGCCACGCCCCTTTTATTGAGAGGCTCTTCACACGTATTGTACTTCTGATACCATGTTCGGACCACAGTCGGCTAACCACGCAAACATCGCCAACGTTGATCAGACAACGCGTGATGGCCGCGGCACCTGACCGCTTGTCCGTCGCTGACAAGAGCGTAGCGCGGGGCAGACAACGCGTGATGGCCGGGGCACCTGACCACTTGTCCGCCGCTGACAAGGGCGTAGCGCGGGCAGACAACGCGTGATGGCCGCGGCACCTGACCACTTGTCCGCCGCTGACAGGGCGTAGCGCGGGGCAGACAACGCGTGATGGCCGCGGCACCTGACCACTTGTCCGCCGCTGACAAGGGCGTAGCGCGGCAGACAACGCGTGATGGCCGCGGCACCTGACCACTTGTCCGCCGCTGACAAGGGCGTAGCGCGGGGCAGACAACGCGTGATGGCCGCGGCACCTGACCACTTGTCCGCCGCTGACAAGGGCGTAGCGCGGGGCAGACAACGCGTGATGGCCGCGGCACCTGACCACTTGTCCGCCGCTGACAAGGGCGTAGCGCGGGGCAGACAACGCGTGATGGCCGCGGCACCTGACCACTTGTCCGCCGCTGACAAGGGCGTAGCGCGGGGCAGACAACGCGTGATGGCCGGGGCACCTGACCGCTTGTCCGTCGCTGACAAGAGCGTAGCGCGGGGTAGACAACGCGTGATGGCCGGGGCACCTGACCGCTTGTCCGTCGCTGACAAGAGCGTAGCGCGGGGCAGACAACGCGTGATGGCCGGGGCACCTGACCCCTTATCCGCCGCTGACAAGAGTGTAGCACGGGGCAGAGCAACACTGCTACACCTGTGCATGCCGATTGGTCACCCCGCTCGCTGGTCCAACAACTCCCGGCCAGTCGACACTTCAGTGCGGCTGAAAGAGAAGGCAACCGACGCAAAACCGCAACTGCAAGGGTTTCGATGCAATTTCACGAGGTCGTATCTGCCACTCCGGTCGGCGAAATGAGCTGTGTTTCTATGTTGGAAACGCTAATGATGCCGACACGCTTAGCACTGTTTGCTAGTTCTGGGATAAAATATGGCGTCAACAACAGTACAAAACAAGCAAGCCGACTACAAGTCACATCATGCAATCTTAGCGTGCCGCAGCGCCTTCAGATGGCTGTGTGCGGAGTCTGAATGCCAGCGAATACGTCAAAACATGGGCTCCATTATTCTTTAATGCGTGGCAATTGCGGACGTCAGGCCGGCAATGACGCCACGCGCGTTCCCGCCAATCCGTGCACTGCGCAGAATCACAAGGACGGAACAAGTGGGGCCGATAACACTTGGCGAAATACCGTTAACGTACCAACACCGCGGCGCGCTGTTACCCCAAACAGGAGTCAACTCAAGCGACAAGCAGCGCTAGCGCCACAGCCTCGGCAGACCCGGCCTTCAGTCGCGGCCACGCGTGGCGGGGCTGCGGACCTGCATCCCTTCGCGAGGTGGGCTCGCCGAGCCGCCGCTCCCGGCGGTCGAGCTGCCAAGCTCCAGGCCTGACGCTGGACGCCGCTCGACGCTCTGCGGGGCGTGTGGCGCGGCGCGCGTGGCACCACAGCGTAGTGAGGTACATACGTCGGAGGTCAGCCAAACGGCAGCGGCGATGTAGGGCGGAGAAGGCTTTGCCGGCCGGGCGACCCATACCCAGGCCGGGGACGGACCCCTGCGGTGCTGCCAGAGGAAACACGTGACCGATCTCAGCGGCACGTCCCCTGCATGGACCACATCCGTATCTGTTCGGACGCGTTTGCGGCCCGCCGCTTTTCCCGCGGCAAAGTTCACGTGCTGCAGCCGGACCGTCGTCCGCAGAGACATCTCCTGGGGACTTTACGCAGTTGAAGTCCGATCTTTGGTCGGCAGGCGACGCCGCATTCGTGATCCACACGCCATCGGCGGCTGCTTGCTGGCTCACGACCACGAACAGTTCGACGTCTTTCGAGCCCAGCTTCTCAGAGAGGTACTGTATGAGATCAGAATCCTGAAACCAGCAGCCACATTATACACATGTAAAATGACCTCCTACAGAGCAGCAGTTCAGCTGGGTAAATCTGAAGGCAAGAGCCAGTATGCTGAAGCAACCTGTTCTTTTCACTGTGCCCTGCACACCGAGCAGCCCATGTAGATAGAAGCCAACTCATTCATATCCATAAGTGACCTGTTCCAGAATAAGTCTACACCTTAGAGCGGTGGTGTACGCATTTCAACTCCATGGGGGCCGGTATGGTGATGTACCCAGTGGGATGCAGTCACAGGTCACTGCCATGGGGCAAAGGGTGAGACATGAATTAGTCCAATACACCACATACTTCAGTATTAGGTGGCTTATTGTTGGTTACTGTTATTTACTTTCAGACATAAAAGAGAAGGTGATTTAGGGTTTTCCAGTTTCTGTGTCTTTAAGCCAGTGAGCTGGTTAAGACCAACACGGCCAAACACTGCCAAACCCCGTTTCAGCCCGCCACAATTGAAGCCCAGGCGTACACTCATAGCCGATCCAATGCTCTGTGGCGCCGGCAGCTGGAGTCCAAGTTGTAGTACACAGCCGGCTCGCTAGGTGGCAGGGAGGCGGGGCGTAAACGCCGCAGCGCCACCCCAGTGGCGACGCGAGTATGGCAGCGTGAAGGGCCCGATTCTGTACTCGGTGGACAAGTTGAGGATGAGTGGAAGCCCTCGATGTGTCGCCACACCAGGTCCGAGACGGATCTAGCGGTACACAAACGCGACGTCAGGGAGCTGGGAGGCCAGTGCCGGTGAATGCTGGTCGTAACAAGGGCGCATAGAATCTGCAGTTGGTTCGCGCGGATAGGCGACGTTGTGGCAATGGCGCGACCGCGACCGCTCAGCACTTACTTAAAATAGGTCAGGCCACAAACCAGTAACAGCACACAATGGCCAAAGGTGGGGCTTAATGACAGCAACAAAGCATCAATGGTTGGTCAAACTATGTTTGATTAATACTGTATGAGCTACACTGCTTGATAACCCTCCGCTCCCTTGTCTCATCATCATCTCATCATTCAAGTCATCTTAACGCAACACAATGCAAGCTCCAGTCCACGGGGTGCCGACACCCGTCCTTTCCTTCCCCCTTCACCTCCCCCCCCACCTGCGGCGGTCGAACCAGCGAGCGTCCCAGCCCTTCTGCTGCAGTGCCGTCATCAACATTGACGTCGAAGTTGCCGGTGCCGAGGAGGATGGAGCGGTGGGGTTGAGCCAGGCACCTGGGGCCAGCTGGTCACAGATGGCATCCAGCTGTCTCTCCGTGAACTGACGGTCCTGCAGCACGTTGTTGAGAGCGTGCAGTGCGCACAGCTCCCGCACCTGAGGGCAGGATGGGCCACAAAGAGTCAGAGATGGCCCGATGACTCAGAGATGATCCAATGTCAAGTTGCACTGCCCACATTCAGTCAGAATCAATTGCTGCACCATACGGCATGATTGAGATCAATTTCACCATCTGATTTTTTACAACTGAGTCACAAGCAAGTTTGATTTTGTATCTCTTGAATGCCCTTATTTGAATACCTGAGACACTATAACATCATAATTTGTCACCATCTCCCTCGCCCTTAGAGCCATGCAGCATGCACATAATATAGTATGATATCTGGGCTGCTTAAGTTGACATTTGTTGCTGTTGAGATTAACCTTACTTAGCATGTGGCCTTCCTGGTGCTTGTTCAGCCCATCCCTTGTTGTTGGGTTAAACAAACTTGGTTGTAATCACAGTGACCCAAATGAGGTGACAGCCAGCCTCACAGTTTGTTCCAACACAGAACAGTTCTCAAAATATTGCTTTGAGGGATCTAATGTCTGCATGTGAAATATGAGCATGAGACCCAGCCATCAAGTTTGGAATATAACATCCAATTCTGAACATTACATTAATCAGCCAACAATCTGCCTGATTTTATCACATATGTATGACAAATGATATTACAAGTACGAGGAAAGAGAGAGATCAGAAAGGATCTTACAAATTTCATGGAATTTAATTGTGGTCTTGTGGCATGTAATACAGATAATCCCAGGTTATAACTGGAGGTAAGCATAACATAGTTCAGAAGAATGCTCTGGAATTACTTACCTGCTTTTCATGATAGATTCCATCCACTATATGGTTTGGTTTGTTGAAGAATGACATTTTTTGGCAGGCACAGCTGAAAACAAAGTAGGATGGTATGACAACAGGACACTGATGTCCTGTTAAATGGATAACACCTGAGATATGAACAACTGGAGGACAAATCATGCTATATGACAATGAGCATCATTTCAGACAAATTATGCCACATACCAACAATGAGCATCATTTCAGAATTGAAAAGTCTTGGTTAGGACTGCAGACACAACCAATATATTTGTTTCACTTTTAACAGCCACCTTGTAGACTAATTGCAATTTTTGCATATTTTCATCCCGCTCCAGCTTAGTACCACAGCACTGTCAACTAACAGAATAATGCAAGCAAACCTAATCTATAAAAAACACAAAACGTTTGTTTTTTATTGCTGCCACAGAAACATCAACTCACTGCACCTTGAAAGCACACAATTTTTAAAGACCACATTAAGCGTCTTTAATCTCCTAGCACAAACGTTGCCGTTAATCATTGAATAAGGACAGAAGAACACTGCACACATTCAGGATTATTCCAAGATATGAAAACATATCACATGCCCCGGGCGTGATCGGATGTATACCGGATTTCGCAATGGGCGGCGCCACCAGCCAGTCAACCCCTTGTTTATCTCTCGACCAACGCGGTTTCCCAATGTGAGAAGTGTCGGTGGATGTGGCGCACCTATTCATGCAGGCCTGCTGTGAACATCGCTGTACCAGCTGATGAACGTCTGCCAATCTAGTAGCAGATTTATATCCAATTGCGAGTTGGATATTCCGGGGCGTCACGATCACCTCCAAATTTGGTGTGCAGAGCCTTCTCAGCACACTGATTCCGAAAATCACTGCTTTTGGGGTGGAATTTTGCGTAATTTCCGAGTTATACGACGCATGACACCTCAGTTGCGCTTTGGAATATGTGTCCTGGAATTCGCCTTTGGGCCTGTCCGTATCAGTTCACTGGAGAAAGTCAGTTCGCGACATGTGAGTGATAAATGTGTGGTATGTGATATCATTGACTTGGTGGTATCACCCAGTGGCATCGCTTTCAGCTTTGTTTCTTTTCTGAACTTTAAGGTGATGGAGTATTAGTCCGACGAAGTCACGGGCATTTTTTGTCCTGACCAAAAACTGACAAGATGTCCCTGGTGATCAAACTAATCGTGCCTCACCGCAGGAGCATGAATATTTGGGTGATGTCACCGTCTGTCTTATCTCCCAAGGACGCTGGTGACGCTGGTGGAACAGCGCGTGCTACTTGTGCACGCCATGCCCATGTTGTTGGCTGGCCGGCCACATCAGCCCGCTGCTGCTGACCGTGATGGAGACGCTGCACTTCGATTTTCGGAATCATCGTGTTGAGAAGGCCCTGCGCACCAAATTTCAAGGCAATCGAGACGCCACGCAACACATTGGGATGTTACGCGGCTTATAATTAGAAAATTACGCAAAATTCCACCCCAAAGCAGTGATTTTCGGAATCAGCGTGTTGAGAAGGCCCACCACACCAAATTTCAAGGCAATCGAGACGCCCGCAATATCACGTTGGGATGTTACGCGGCGTATAACTCGAAAATTACTCAAAATTCCTCCCCAAAGACGGCAATTTTCGGTATCAACGTGCTGAGAAGGCCCTGCACAAATTTGGAGGCGATCGTGACGCCCCGGAATATCCAACCGGCGATTGGATATCAATCTGCTGCTAGCTTGACAGACGTTGCTGATGACGCTAACTCCGAGACCAAATAATCCATCAGTTTTGCCCCACTTTTTCGTGCTGCTGATAATGATTCCCAAAAAATGAGCTTACCTCAAAGGGAGCCGTGCTTTGCCCGCTGTTGCACATGTCACGGGGAACCAAGGCGAGTCACACGGGTCCACGGGTCCTGGGTTCAAGGAGAAATGGGAGGCGTTGCGGGATGAGAGGCTCCCCGGCATTTACAATTCCTGTTGGGGCGAGAGGCAGGCGACGCTATATAGCTTCAGACACTGAGTGGGTGGTAAAGTTCCAATGACGACGAGGACTAGGCTATGGCTTGGAGCCCTGTGGCGACGCAGAATCGTAAGCTCGGTGCCGCAACCCCTGACCGACCACTGAGCCGCTGATGGTGCGTGCGGCCACGACCAATGAAAGAGGTCTTCGGACTGGCATTTACGCGCCCCGGG